GTTTGGTGTCTTCATCATATTTGAGTTGTACGAATGTTGAACTTGCTTCCTCGCTTATCAGCATTATTTTCTTCAAATTTTTCTTCAAATAAAGATATTCCTTGCTTCTGTCTTTCTGCGTCAAACCAATCCTTCAAGCATATAGTCATCTCCAAGTGCACTGGCGTCAATCGGCTCCTCTGATCTGTATGTTCTCTACCACATATAGAAAAAAGTACTCTCAGATGCAACTGTAGACTCCAGAGGTGTTAATATATCACATGCCATGATGTAAAGCACAAGAGATTGTTACCATTGTGTTTTCCACCATCCGAGAATGTCATAACTTTCCCAAAGCTCATCATCATTATCACCTGCATCAACTCTGAGACTATTAAAAAATGAAGTAAGTTCATTAGATCCACGTTCACCTAAAGAATCTCGTTCTTGTTGTTGCACTCGTTCCACTTCTCAAACTTCAACTACCTGTGCTGGAAGATGTTGGCGGTAGTACCATTTAAGCATCTGTAGAATGAGGTGATACTTCAGAGCTATATAATGAATAAATTGTCTCTAGCATTTTGTTAATAAAGAGTTTTGCATCAATATCATGACCGTATTGCATATTATAAAAAAAAGTAGTTATCAAATACTTTAGATTAATAACTATAAGTCATAGGATCCATTTTCGCAGCTAGATAAAATAAGTTAGGTATCTATTCAAAAATTTTCTTGAGTTTTAGTTCCATTTGACAAATAGCATAAAAAAGCTCAGCATGATTTCTGTACGTCATAAGCAAGTTAGAAATTTCAGTAAGATGATAAAAAACTAAATTAATTGTGGGATTGTAAATTCCAAATAATGCTTTTATTGCAACCTCAAAATTTTCAAAAATTTACAAAAAATCACATAAGCAATCCACTCCTAAGTTATGTACATATACGGACACTTTTCATTCATTTCAAAACATTGAGTTACTTTTTTATAAGGAATGCAAAGATTAATCATGTAATAACTAGAATTCCAGCGTATTGACACATCCAATTAAAGAAGCCTTTTTGCTAAACCAAGTTGTTTATCAAAATTCTTAAAGTTTCTTCTCCTAGATGAACTAGCTTTCATAAATGTAATATTTTATATAATTTACCAACATATTTGTCTAATACTTTCAGCCCAACTTGTGCACACAAGTTGATTAAATGAAAAATGCATGGTACATGAAAAAGTTTACCATCTAAAACTAGATTTAAAACCTCAATGAAATGTTTAATAGCAGCAATATTTTCACTACCATTATCGAAAGATATAGAAAATATTTTATTTTCAATTTCATAATTTTGACAAGTAGCAAAAGTAGCATTAGAAACATTTGTAGCAGTATGTTTTTGCTCAAAACCATTGAAAGATATCATACGTTTTCGCAAAGTCTAGTTTTCATCAATGAAATGAGCAGTAACACATAAATAATGAACCAAAGTCAAAGCTTGCAAAATATTAGAAGTTAAAGAAACTCTTCTAGCATCAGTAGTGAGCATTGTTTTCAAAACACTTCGGTGATCTGCAAAACAAGATTTTATTTCTGTTGTAATTGTTTGCCTACTATTTTTTTTGAAATTAGAAGCAAAAAAGGTCTAAATAAATTCTATCAAAGCATCATTTTTGCGACTAGACCAAGCAAATTCCCGCCTAAAAAATAAAACTAGCTAAAGCATACTTAGCAAACCCGGGTTTAGCCCTCCAATTGGTTAGTGTACCAGACTCGGCTACAATTTGTGCTTGATTAGTAGCTAAACCATGACCTTTTGCATGTTTTGATTGATAGTGTTTATCTAGAACACTGGTACCATAAGTGCTTCCATGATCATAATTTTGTTTACAATAGTTACATTGTGCCTTTTTTTTATCATCTTTTTCTACTTGTATAAAGTGTTTCCACACCCACGATGTTTTGGCTCTTTTTTGGGGTTGGTGGTTGTAGATTTGGGGGTTTTGTTCTTTGTTTTAACTTGTGTATTATGATCTTGCGGTGAATCAGAAAAAAAGTAAACTGTGTTTGTGTGCGCATGGGTGAGGATGAAGCTAATAGTTGTTGATAAGATGAATAAGGAGGGGGTAAAGGAAAGAAGGGTCCGCCCCACTACCACTAGTATATGAAGAAGTGTAGGGTGTACTACTACTATAATCTACCATAAAGCCAGAAAGATTGGACCAGTACAAATCTAGAATAAGATTGGGCATATGGTGTAAATCCGGTGGAGTATGATGACGAGGAACACTGCTGACTTCGGTGTAAGTGTGGAGGGGGAAGAAGTGTAAGCACCTGATGAATTGTCGGCAGCTCCGGAATAGCACCTGGAACTGAAAGAAGAGTTGCGCTCCGTAACTTGAGAGATTAAAAACGCTAGAGAGAGGGAGATGAGAGTAGACATTGTAGTAGGAGATGAGAATTTGGATTAAAGGGAGAGAATTTAATATATTTTTAATAATTTCGGTAAACAACAATGGCTAGGCCTAAGAATGACTCTTTTTCTAAAAAGAGCTGTTATTGTTGACTAGTTTTAATTCGAAGGACATCACGCACAATCTTTTTTTAAATAATTTTTTGGTTAGCAATAATGACTCTTTTTAGAGCCAGTGGAGAGAGAGTGGTTGCCACGTGGCAACCTCTCTCTCC